CACAGGCGAACCAGTCCATCAAGAAAAAACACAATACAAAACATAAACCAAAAGGCACTGAGTATATACTTCACCTTTTGACCAAAATTTGCCTCTGCAGAGACAGATAGATTGACCTTATGAACTTATGTGTAGAAGACCAGTTTGCAGCCTTATAAATCTGAGAATCAGGGTCCACGATACATTCACTGCCCTAGTAAAGTGGGCTTTAATGGGAAAAGCAGAAACTTTATCTCATAGGCCTGTACAAAAATTTTATCCAGTTAGCAATAGTGAATTTTGAAGCTGGAAAAACCTCTTTTCAGATCACCTGGAATAATAAAAAGCTCATTAGTCTGTCTAAAAGAAGCAGTGGCAGCAAAGTAAAGCCAGGCAACCCTCACTAAATCCAGGCAATGGGGCTAAATCTCCTTGGGGTGAACGGTGCTGGACACATATAAGGTAATACAATATCCTCATTAGGTGAAAAGCAGAGAACACCTTGAGCAAAAAGAAGGTCCTCGGTCTCAAGATAACCTTGTCTCAAGGTAATATCAAATGGGGCTACATATAGGACAACACTGATAACTCCAGCAGAAGTAATACTCCAGCACCTAGGTTGGGAGATGTATTCGCACTATCCTGCCCAGGAGGCACACAATGGAAGAAGATAGTGAACACATAACACCTTAATAGACAGCTTAGAGCAAGAGTCCTCAGTATGAGGTGGTTTTGCTGATTATATCATCTTCTTAGAGTCTCTAAGTCTAGGAAGGAGGGGGGTTGAAACAGTCAATGCTATTTTAGGCACAGAGACCCAAAATCTGTATGTTGGTCCTCCAGTTCTCAGAGTCTGTGCGTTTTAGGGGGACATGGACTTGAATCCAAAGTAAACTACTCTAAAAGGTCCCCCCCAGGCACAAACCAAAGAAAAGAGCCCCCTCAGATGCCAGGGCCATGGTCAGTAGGCAAGAGGCTAGCCTGCAGTCCTCTCCAAAAGCCCCTGCCCCCAGTTGAGTCTGTGACAGTACCCTTAGAGAAAGCGATGGCAGGCCGAACCTAGCTCACGCTTCAGGGCTTGAAGGCTCCCATAGGGGACTAGAAGATACTACGTCCCCTAGGGGTCTTCCGCTGGTTTACTCCCAGGGAGCAGTTCACATTTTTATATGTTCTGGCAGAGCTGAGGTTAGATGCTTTCAGATTTGTAAAAGCTCGTGGTTGAAATCTCTGTCTCATTTCAGGACGGAGTGGGGTATCAGCTTGATGGATCACTGGAAGCACACTTAACTGCAGACCATCTTTCGGAGCCTACGCTACAATCTGAGATCCAGGGACTCATTTACTCCTTTTGAGGCTACGTGTGTGGACAATGACTGACTGGCCAGACCTCTGTCTATGCTATACAAAATGCTGCTTGCTCTTTCACCCCATATGACCCAATACTACATTAGGGAGTGGGAAACTGGGCTTGGCCGTAGCCTTTCAGAGAGTGCTATAAATAAATTTAACAAACTGGCTCACACATCTTCTATCTGCTCCAAGCAGCAGAAGTCCTGTTACAAACTTTTGACACGTTGGTATCAAGCTATGCATAAACGTGACATTTGTACCTATTGATGTCTGCACATTGTTGGAGAGGTTGCGGACAGAGAGGAACATTACTGCACAATTTGTGGAACTATCTCTGTATCAAACCCTTTTGGAAGGATATCCGGGACCTGATTGCCAAGGTCACGCAATACCAGTTGGAGAATGACCCCCTTCCCATATTATTTCATACCACCCATCTGTCCACGGGTAAATATAAAACAGTCCTTGATACCTCATCTTCTCAACTTTGACAAAAGTCTTATACGTTTACACTTGAAATCTGCAGTGGTTCATACAGTATGGGACTGGCTACTAAAGGTACAAGAGGTACAATTTGCAGAGGAGTGGAGGTATCAATGTTTTGACAAATATTCACAATTCTATAGTACCTGGGCCTTGTGGATAGAATGTACCAACTCTTACACTTATAAACATTTGATGTTGTAGATTTTTACTTTCTATAAATTATCATTACTTGGCCGGGCTAGGGATGGCTCTTACTGATTTTAGCATTGTTCTGCTCCTTTCTTCTCTCAAGAAGAAAAAGGCTCTCTTTTTTTGGTTAATTTTTCTTCTTCTCTTCCTTCCCTACCTCTGCCTTTTTTCCTGTTCCCTCTAGTGTCACCCTCCTTTGTTCTAACAAACTTATCTTGTTTTTTTTAGATACGCCAGGCTTGGCCCTAGAGCCTTTTATTGGTCTCTGCAGACTGTAACCTCTGCTAATACTATTTTCTCATGTGTAGTGGAAATGTTTGAAGACATCCCCTAGGGGTCACCCGGTAAAAACTCTTTTTTGTTAGGGTTAAGGATCTTCCAAAATTGTAATATACTATACGCCTGGATGCCTATTTTGACCCCATCTATGGCTTTTTTGCTATGATGTTGTACTTTGCAAAATGTATAAAGATTCATAAAATAAAGGAATGGCTTCCCATAAAAAATCTTGCGCAAAACTCTACAGCAAGGTATGTTAGTAAGTTCAGAATAAAAAGGAGAGATCTTAATCACCCTTACAAAGAGAGCAGTCATTTAGACCTTAAGCCTCAGGTGAAATAAAAGGGAAAAGCAAAGCATATAGTCTGCTAGCTACGAGAGTCTTCAGAGACAGGAGGAGGAAAACTGCCACAGCTCTGGTCCCAAAAATTCTGCAAGGAATACCCAAAGAAACAGGCATGACCCGAAGAGTTCTGTGCTGGCTGAACACAGATCGGTTGTCACTGCCAATTGCAGGACTGTTGCAGAGAGAACCCCAGTATATTTAATGAACTAGGAAAAATTGTGCTCCTTCATTAACTGGAGAGATTTTCAGGATTTCCAATATCTGGCTTGAATCTACTAGTACCTGTTGAAAATAGAAAAATCTTCCAACTTAGTAAAAAAAATATAGCTCAAGAGAAACATCCATTCTCCTAAAGACACAAAGGAAAATCTAAGCAGGTGTGATGTGGGAAGGGTTATAGTCTTAAGGGAGCTTGGCTTCAGTTTTCTATGTGCTTAGTGTCCTTTTCTATAGGAGGCAGCACTGAATTTCTTTCTATCGGGCTGCTTTCCTCAATGGACGATAGAGAAAATAAATACTTGCTATTTAACAACTTATTGCTCTAGGCTAGCAGCCATTTTCATTAAAATGGTAGGTTTCTTCGTAGAAGTTACAATAGAAGATGTCAGCTGTGTACTGAAAATATCTACTATGCCACCTTAATTAAACACATTTTAAGGCCCCATTCACACCTGTGCATTCCAGGTGCAGTGCTATGGTGAAGAGGAGAGGGGAAGATGTCTCTAGCCCTGTCCTTGGGGCAGGATCACCAAGTGAAAAAGAAACAAAGCCTGAAAAAGAACACTAATGCAGCTACAACATTTAATTTCTAGTCTGCTTCAATACATACTGTACATTTTTTTGGGGAGGGCTTTGGATAACTTTAGCCCTACCCAGTCCTGACAGCCCTTTAACACTGTGTTTAAGTCAGAAGCACAGGATGGACTTCCCAATCATGTGATCAGCTGTCAGATTAGTAACAATCAGGAGCCTGTCCCGTTGCCTTCCAATCACACCAAAAAACTGGGAGCTGTCTGTAAGATTTTTATCAAATACAATACTCAAATTTGATGCTTGCAAACTTTACTTTTTTTCTAGGAGTCACTGTAATTTTGTTAGCTTCCAGGATGTCAACAGCCAGCATCCTGGCTCTAACAGTATTCCAGGCACCAGAGAAATTACACCCTATCTACTAAGTCTCACACATCTGAAAAAAACAAGAACAGTTTTAAAACTTTACAAGCTTAAAGTGGTTCTAAAGCCAAACATTTTTTACCTTAATGCATTCCCTGCATTAAAGTGACTCTAAAGGCTTAATTTTTTTTCTTTTTTTTAAATAATGAACACGTCATACTTACCTGCTGTGTGCAGGGGTTTGCATTGCGTAGCCCGATCCTTCTCTTCTCAGGTCCCCTGCCGGCGATCCTGGCCCCTCAATCCAGTCAGCTGCTCTGTATGTCCATTCACACAAGGAGCTGTGGCTCGGCCCTGCCCCCTCCCTCTTCTCATTGGCTCACTGGCTGTGATTACCAGTAGTGGGAGCCAATGGCTCCCACTATTGTCTCAGGCAAAGAGGAGAGGGAGTCCGGGATAGCCGAGACTCCAGTGCACATCGCTGGATCGAGAGGGGGGTGTTTTACAACCACTTTAAGGTAAAAATGTTTAAGTATTTGTTTCGCCCCCTTATCACGCCTTATACTTACCTGAGCCTTTACTCGGTCCAGTGCTATGCCTGTCTGTAGTGGATCTCCCTGCTCTCACGGGCTTTGCTGAGGCAGTGGGAGCCATTGGCTCCAGCTGCTGTCAATCAAACCCTGTGACAAGAGAGCGGGGGGCAGGGCAGGGCCAAGCCTTGCTGTCTGTGTCTATGAACGCAGGCAGGGTGGCTTGGGATTGAGCCCGCAGGTGCACCACAATAGGAAGCAGCTTACTATGGTGGCACACCAAGAAGAGGAGGAGCCGGGAGTATCCTTAGGGGACCCCAGAGGAGGATTGGAGCCACGGGGTGAAATTCTACTGCACAGAGCAGGCAAGTATAAACCTTTGCTATTTATTTTTTTCTAATTATACATTTGAACCACTTTAAACCCTTCTGAAACATCAATTACAAGTACTTTAGTTTATTAAACAAGTAACTGTGTAGACCATGTTGTAATCCATATCAACCAATCAGATGTGATCCTGCTACACTGAATAAACAAAATAGCTAAAATTTAAATACAGCATGTATTAAAATTGGTATCAGTTCAGCTTCACTTGGTCTGCAACTAAGAGAGCTAAATAATAAGTGATATAGGTATACTGAAGTGTACCTGCATACCCTTCACCATAAATGCAGTTTAAAAATGGCAGCAGACTTCATTTCTGATATTTAGATAGAAAGGTACTTTAATCAAACCTGTAAACGGATTTCCATTTCATCTCTGTCATTCTGGGCAGCCTGAAGATGTAATTCAAGTTCTTCCATCTGTTGTTGCACTTTCAACATTTCCTTCATAACCCTGGCTTGTTCCACCTCTGCTGCTGTTTTCTCCCCCTGGACCTTCAGCAGTTCCTTTCTTAGTTCCTTCACCTCAGAGTCCAGCTTCCTTTTGGTGGCTTTTAGCTCACTAATCAGTTGGTCCTTTGAGCTGGCATCTCGGCGGTATGCTTCGACCATCACCTAAAATTGCAGATACCAGCATGAATGAAATTAAAAAAAAACAAATAAAAAAATAAACTAAACTAAAATTAAATAAAAGAGTGCTCCATGTGACAGACCGAACTGGGACAGGGGCTTTAGGGGCTGTATAAATAAATTCTTTAAAAATCATACAATGTAATTTCCTGATTTTTTTTTTTTTAATTCTGTCTCTCAGAGTGGGAATGCACCTACAATGTGAATTTCAGACCCCTCCATGATTTCTAAGTGGGAGAACTTGCAAAATCGCAGGGTGTTCAAATACTTCTGTTCCTCACTGTATCTATCTATATATATGAATTTACACAGCTTTTACACACAGTTGTTACTTAAAGGATATGTTCACCTTTAAGAAAAAAATTTTTACAGGTAAGAAAAAAAAACGTGCATTTTTTTCTTTTTTGTCTGCGGTAGCCTGCAAACCATTGCACCAGCGATCAGCAGATCACTCGTGCCATGCAGGTCTCCTGCAGATCTGTCAGTATATCTGCTTGCTCGTATGGGATGTACGAGCAAGCAGATAGGCTGACAGGAAGAATGAATGAACTACCATGGTGCTTCACAGCACCATGGTAGTTCATTGAAGACTACAAGCTGACAGCCGCTAAGGCTGTTGGGACTTGCAGTCTCTAAATCACATAAGATTGTGAATGAGTGACGTGGCCATGTGGGTGGAGCCCCGCACAGCCACTTTTTTTTCAATTTGACAGCTTGCGAGAGGGGAAAAAGCCTTTTTTTTTGCTAGAAAATTAGTTTGAACCCCCAAACATTTTATGGAGGTCCTAGAGAATAAATTGGTTGGGTGCTGCAATTTTTTATGTCACACAGTATTTGCACAGCAATTTTTCAAACACAAATTTTCGAAAAGTAGACACCTCAAGGTGATCTAATTTTTGCTAGAATTTTTTAAAATGAAGAAACATGCTGGTGTCGAGGTGGTTAAAACGGTCACTACACTCAAGACCAATATTTCAAGTTATAGGAGGAGATGCCTGGCAGACAGGGTGCTTGGTGATACACAGAGAGAGTAGGTGGTAAAGGGGTTACTGTACAGGTCAAGTACAATGGGAGGATGGAGAGAAGAGGATTTACGTGCAGATGTGCAGGACAAAGGAGGTGAAGGACCTTATACAGGTCACATACAGAGACAAGATAAAGATGAGATGTATAGGGAAGGGGGGCAGGGGCTAATGGGATAAACAATCCCACAATCAAAATAAGTAGCCCCCACCTTGCTGGTGATCTGTTAATGAATGATCCCTTATTAATTTAATTCCCCCCTGCCCCTGCCCCTGTTGTTAGAGAATGGGGAGGGCTCTCAAATGTAAACAATAGCAGCAAATGACAGCTCAGATCATAACCATTTGTGAGTGCATTGGCTGCCCCAGTGTGTTATGTGCAGCATCAGTTATCAACGGGATTTTTGATATACAAATCCACCTCCCCACCATTTTTTGTTAAATCAAGAAAGGTGAACTCTAAATTTTAGAACCTTTATTGATATAGGAGTGAAAATTCTGACAAACTAAGATAATGCTGTACACTGCATAGGCGTACCTGTTATACCAGCACATTGCTATTCTGTGGCTTCCTACTACAAAAATAGTATGACAAATCTGGACATAGTGTACAGCAACTTCAATATTTTAACCACTTAAAGCAGAACTTTACCCATAACAACTTGGTAAAAAATGAATGTTCTTTAGCAAGGAACATACATTCTGCATTAATAATCATGCTACCAAAATGAGTGTGTGCTGTAAATAGCCTCCAGCAATGTTCCTGTTTCTTCTTCCTGGAGGCTGCCATTTTGCTTAAGCCTAGAGCCCGTGAACAGCAGTAAATCATAAAGCAGAACGAAACCCATCGCTTTAGGCCTTGTTCACACTATACATGCAGAAAAACGGAAGGAAACTGACATGCAGATTTCACTTGCAGAGACATCAGTTTACATCAGTTTTCATGCGTGCTTCAATGCGTTTCATACACCTTGCAGATTCCTGAAAAGAACAAATTTGCACGTGATACTAGTGTTGTGGTGTGAACAGGGCACATAGGGAACAATTGATTTCATTGTGCCCATGCAGAATGAATTCAGAAAAACTTAGGTCTCTGCACCATGGTGTGAACAAGCCCTTAATGATTTAAAAAAAACAGTTAAATTCCTGGAATGCCAAGATTGCGGTCACATTTGCTTGCATCCTCAACCAAACTGTCAAGCCATCAAATGGCTGGTATCATAACTAATCACAGTACCAATGCAGTTGCAGATCAAACAGAAGCAGCTTCCTTGGCTGTAAAGGATAGGAGGGTTTCTTTCTGCTTTAAGGCTGTCAGCAGATTGGCCCCTAAAAAGTTGGCATTGCTTAAAACAGAGCAACTGAGCATGTGCAGAGCAGGGGAGACAGTGTATTACGGGATTTTAAATAGTAGAAGCACTATTTTTAATTTTATACATAGCTATACCTGCAAAAGGGGCCAGCCTGAAGTGATCTAACAGGACCTCATTTTCTGAATAGGTTCCACTTTAGGTACCCAGGCCTTATTCTCACTAAACCCCCTTGAATACCAAATACTTTTCTGTTTCTTTTTTCTCCGATGGCTCCGTTCCGCATAATGTACCTATTAGCATCTGTAGTCTACCCTAATGTACATTTGTTTTTGGTTAGATATGATTTTATTTGGTAAAAAAATTGGAAACATATATTTTTAGTCCCTTAGTTTTTATTTGGAATAAATAGCTAAAAATTAGGAAAAAATACATTTTGCTTTAATTCTTTCCACAACAGACATTTTATATAATTTGCATACCCCGTTTACATTTACTGCAAAATACAATCAACAGTCTGCGGATTAAAATTATGTTACATTAGTGCAACTTTTACATAATGTAGTGGAATGGTAAACATCTAACTAAACATAAGCGTTTTACTGTACGAGAGCCTTATTCCACTCTTGAAAGTTTATGGCGATGTACACACTAGAAACGACTTGTGTAAATGGTTGTGGTACATTGCATTCACATACATAAACATTTGAGGCTTAGGAAGCGAAGGCAATTGTCATAACATGGCGTTCACTTACCAGTGAACACATATGTCATTCCAGATCATCCAATTTCACATGTACACACTCTAGGAGGTGTATTCATATATAAAAACACTTGAATAGTTATTCATCCAGAAAAAACCATTGGTACATTCATTGTGTGTAAAAGGAGCAAAATCAAATGTTCCCAGGCTATTTACTCTACAGGTCATTCATTCCTAAATAAAAAAAAGGAAAGCCATTCATTCCTAAATAAAACAGTAGTTTGTGAAAGTACCACATTATGAGCACTAGATGGAGCTGACAATCATAGGGAAGAGAAAAACTCCCGCTACATCCCCCATCTCCAGAAGCTGTGTACTAGCAGCCTTTTTCTAAGGTCTCATGCAGACTGGGTTTAAAAAACAGGTGTTTGGTGAGTTTTTTTTCCCAATCTCCAAAGGCACCTCTGTGTTAGCCTATGATAGGCAGATGAGTAGGGGAGCATTTACACGCTGGAAAAAAAACAAAAAAACACACACGCACATCAAGAGCACGTTAAGGGGAACTGAAGAGCAGAAAACATGCTAGACATGCCAAAGCGCTAAGAGCGTTTGGGCGAGTTTAAGAATTAATGCATTCTAATGACCAGAAGAAATTAATGTTCTGGCCAATCAAATCCATTAATGACCAAACACTTGATGTGACTGAATGCATGTGCAATAGGCACCTTTAGGCATGTTTTTAGGGGCTCTGGTGTTCAGAAGAGAAAGCAAACGCGCAGTGTGCATGGTGTCTAAAAATGATATATAGCTAGCTGCAGTCAGCAAGCAATAGATCACTATAGCAGTTTTTCTATTGCAGTAAGGACACTCTGGACAAAGCTAGAACAGCATTGTCCTGACCTCTATACTTAGACGAAGTGTTGTGACATGCTGCAGCCATTCCAAGCCTAACTACACCTATCAAATTTTCCCATTGAAGTCAATAGGACCATGCCACAACTGTGAGTCAAATTCTTGGCTTGCGGTGCAGAGTATCAGTACAAAATGCAGGCTTTATGCTTACATCACTCTTTGTTAATTTCTCCAGAATTAATCAAATAGTTTGTAAGGAATGCACTACTTGAAAAAGCCAGGAATCTTCTTGTATAGAAATTTAATAGCAATGAATGACACTAACACTATGGTGAATGTGGTGAATTCCTAACAAACCACTCACATTTCACCCTCCCTCTCACTTTTTGCCGGTCAACCATCATGTATTTTGTGGGACTTATGGACTGACACAATATTTATAAAGTTGTAGGTTATATTATATGCACTAGTTTAGTATATTTTTATGGTTAAAAGGAAATGTAGGGCTATAGCTATTTTGGTTCTACTTCTCTTGAGGGTTACAGAATTTCACTTAGTTCTGCACTTCTGTAACCCATATTCAGCTGACAGTTGGATAAAGTCTGCTTTTGGCTGACATCAAGGAGTCAGTTCGGGCTCTGGAGAGATCCCAACTTTACAGTCCGAGAAGTGAGTGATCAGCGGTTCGCGGTGTAGAGGCAGTGGGGGACAGAGTATGTTATACTTCCCTGCTTTGTGCAATGGTTTTGCACAGAGCAGCTCTAATTCTCCTCTTCTCGGGTCCCTCGCTGGTGCTCCTGGCTCCTCCCTCCCTCCTAGTGAGTTTACCCAGAGCAAGCTGATTGCTCTGGGAGCACTCGTGCATACTCACTCTGGTAGCTGCCTCTGTGTGTCCATAAGACATACTTAATGCGGCTTGGCCCCACCCCCCTGACAGCAGTGAGAGCCAATGGCTCCAGCTGCTGTGCCTTAGCCAATGAGGAGGGAGAGCCACATCTCTCGTGTACATCGCTGGATTAGGCTTGGGTAAGTATTGGGGGGGGGGGGGTAAAGGGAAAGCTGAACAATGAAAGTTTTTTACCTTCATGCATGAAGGTAAAAAACCTATAGCCTTTACAACCACCTTAAATCAGCAAAATAAGTAATGTATATGGAAACTGTTAATAGTATGCCCAAAGTAAAATACTCTATAGTAAAATGCTTACTTTTTGCTGGACAAATTGCTCCTTCACTTTCTGGGTCTGTTTTTTTAAAGTTGCATTCTCTTGCTGCAGTGTCTCCACCTACGCAAAGTATTAGAAAATTCTGTAAACATTTTGTAAATACATATAAAGAATAGTGATTCAGCACCATATCCTAGTTGTAATTTTTTTATGATCACATTAATATCGCCTTTTCACAATTTCTGTATTTCAAAGTATGAAAAAAAATCAACACCAGCATTTAGAGATTAATTCATGAGCTAAAAAAGCAAAACAAAAACGTTTTCCATATGTAGTCACCTGTCCAGATTTGATAGCAAGGTCCTGACGCAACTGTTCCAAAATGTCTGTAACAACTTCAGTCCCTTCTTCCAAACGCTTGGCTCCTTGGTGTAAACCTTCTTGTTCCACCTTGGCAGTCTGCAATGCCACTTCTAAAACGATCTTCTGATTTTGTAGATAGTGAATAGTGTCATCCTTGGAAGAAACATCATTCTGGAGCTCCACAAGCCTGGCCTCAAGTTCATCATACTGCATCTGGAGATCATTTAGTGTTTGGTCTTTGGTGTGAAGGGTTTCTTGAGTTGATGTGAGCTGTTTCAAGATTTCAAGATGTTCTTGTTGGAGAGCTTCTAGCTGCAGGTCTTTCTGATGCAAATTTAGCTTCATCTAACACAAGATATGAACAGAAAATCAAATTAAACTGTGGGCCTCTCACTCTTCTAAACTTTGGGCCTCTCTCTTCACTATAATATATTAATCCAACCCACAAATGTTAAGGTACTTTCCTAAGAAAAATAATGGAATTGCCAGTGTTTTTTTCTGAAATGCTAGTTGCTTGGCTGTTACACATACCTACTATCACCAATACTATGAGTTGTTGACCCAGAAGTATATATATCACAAAAGGATAGCCGTCTTTACTTGCATTCTTTAATAAATCAAAACAGTGACTAAGAACGTCAGCTCGATTTGAGGGAATAGGAAATATCTCAGTTCCCGCACACTGTGCAAAGCCATATGTCATATGGATAATGTTAGCCTCAGTAAACGCCATCCAACCCATGTCCCCAATGCATTACGCCCCACTCCCAGGGCTTAATCATGGAGATACCTCCATGATTAGACCAGGGGGGCAAGGGAAAACGCATTGAGGAGTGGCTTGGATGGAGTTTGCAGAGGCTGCTATTATCATTATGACATATGGCTTTGCGTGCTGTGGGGGAATGAGATACTTTCTAAGCCCTCACATTATACTTGGAGTCAGGATGGACTCCTATCCAGTCTACAGCCACAATGAGATCCATTAAACAGGGCTTTGCAAGCCTGAGTGGAGACCCAATGTTTCTTTGAGGTTCAGCATGACAACTTGGCTACATTGCAGAGTAAGTCATGCCAGCCTCCATGTCTCTCCCAGGAAAGATTTCCTTTGAACCAGTCAATAAAATAGAAACCAAACCTGCTCTATTTCACGTTCTAAAGCAACCGCGGAATCTGCTAGTTTCTGCAACTGCTCTCGCTCCTCCTCAAACTCATCAAGTTTTCTTTGAAGATCTTCTTCTACCATGTTCTTTGCTTCCTGTATCTGCTGGAAAGCAGCCTCCTGATCCAACATGTCAGCCTGAAAATGAGAAACAAAAGAAAGCCATTGCCTATACAAAGTTCAAGTCATAGTAAAGCAAGTCCCTTTTTAATGCAGGGTGTAAAATAAAAATAAGATGTTTGTGCAATGTAGAGGTTTTTAAATGTATAGGTGTTATGAACAACTATGCATGAGTGTAAACTAAACTGATAATTGTATAAACTTTTCAGATTAAAATGTTTAAATTGGCATGTATAATTTTGCTTATGAAATTTGGTTTGGGTGTATGTAAAAAAACATTAGTAGATTTAAAAGCACCATGCACAAAACCTATTTTTGCAGTATCCTCCTTCTCTGACCGTCGCAGAGTGATTGTTTCTTAAACTAAATGTGGCCTACCTCAATATTTTGAAGTTGTGCAGCAATGCGCTCTTTTTCCTTGATTGTCCTGTGCTGTGTCTCTGTCAGTTGATGTGAGAGTGTCACATTTTCTATTTTAAGGTGCTCTAAAACCCCAGCTTGGTTCATCTGCCCGGCCTATGGGAGAATAAAGCAGAGCGACAATTATGTTATAATCAGCCGTACTGCGAGTTTACATGAAGCTTAACCAAAAAAAGCAAATACCTGTATATTGGCCATCTCGCTCTGAAGTCGAACCCGAGCTTCTTGAGCTAATGTGAGCTGCTGTTGGTACCACTCACGTGCCTGTTGCAGAGAGGATATTTCTGCTTTTGAGGCTTTGAGCTTGTTAGTTAGTGTAGTACGGTCCAGTTGCACTTGCTGTAGCTGGTACTGTAGTGATACAGTCTGCTGTCGCAGATCATGAACTATGTGAAACAATAACATGTGTGTGAAGTCATATACACTTTTTCTATCTTACAATCCTAAATCCAAAGATCCCTAACCAAAACAAAACAAAAACCTCATATGCTTGCATTAAGTTGCAGTAAAGCCATAAGGCGATTTGTTTTTTTATTAAACTGAAAAAAGAGGATATACTTACCTGCTCTGTGCAATGATATTGCACAGAGCAGTCTCCTGCTGGCACTGTCCACTCCTTCCCGTAGGTTCCCCCAGTAGCAAACTGTGTGCTATGGGGGCACCTGTGCGGGTGGGCTCCCGACCAGGGCTGTGTGCATCCACAGACACACAGAGCCAGTAAGTGAAGTCATCCCCAAAGTTCCCTCCACACAGGAATCTGAGTGAAAGCAGCAGAAGCCTATGGCTCCCACTGCTGCCTGTGTATCCTGTGAGAGCAGGAAGTGGAGTGGTGCTGCAGACAGGACAGCACTAGAGTAGTGAGAGGAGTCAGGTAAGTGTTTAGGGATGGGGGGGGGGGGGGGGGGGGGTTAGTACAGTGCTTTTAACTCAATGCTGTGAATGCATGAAGGTAGAAAAAAAAAAAACAAAATTAGACTTTAGAACCACTTTAACCTTTTGCAGGTTTCAATGGAAAACAAGGATTTTGATTCCTGAACACTTTTTGGTGCAAATACTTTCCTGAAAATCTAGGTGCAATCAGTAATGAACATGGAGAAAGGTTTCATCAGGACATTGCCACAATGAAATACCGGTATCAGGGCAACTAGAATCCATTAATGCTGGCTGAGTATTGTTGAACACTGCAGTGAGATGCACCGGAGGCAAAATGAAAATCAGAAGCAATACACTTTCAATTCTATTGAACTCTGATGCAGAGTATCAGAAATATTATACAATTAAATACGATATGGTCATTAAAAGTTAATTTCATATTTCTCAATTTCCTACTTAATACAGTCCATTCTGAAACTATATTTGTGTTCAGTTTAAATGGATCTATCATTATCACCAAAAATTTGTCAAGAAGCCAAACTTTGAAAAAAAATCGTCCAGTGATTTAGGTTTTCCTCCCTATCCTAAAAAATTTAAAAAAATAAAAAAAAAAAAAAAAAAAAAAAAAAAAACCCTTTGCATTTGTGTGCAATCCTTGATGCAATCTAATAGTACACAGAACCCACACCATCAAGATTACACAAACACACAAAAAATGCTAAAGGATCACACATTCTCTATTGTACATTGAACTGAGACCAGAGCAAGAATTCAAACAAAGTGAAAGTCAAGAGGGTAACCAAATAAAGATCCATTTGTTATCAATGGATAGTAAAAATGATATTTTTTATCATTTTAAGCAGCATTTTTTAACTTGGGTCTTGGAATCTGGCACACAGTTGGGGTAAAGCAGTAATAAGCTCAAAAGGAAACATTTATTATATTGCAGCTTACCAATTCTCAGATGTGATAGCTGCATTGATTTTTTGGCTATCTTTCTTCTATTTTCATATGGTGATTCGATCGGCAACTCTGCATCAACTTACATGGAAGAGACTGTCCATTTACCAATGGCAGGGGTGATTAAAACAATCAGATTTTATTTATTCATGTAAAACCTTTATCCCTAAAGGAAAAAATGTTTGCTGTAACTGATTATAAAGTGAAGTATTAGCTGGAGTTGGGCTTCAATCTGTTATTCGTATTCAAATCTGCTAATACATTTAACACTCCCAATTCCCCCCAGACTGACTGACTGCTGCTGTCTCCTGTACTCATGCCTCCAAAGCTGTGTCTCACTAATACTGGAGTTGTGTTACTGGCCAGATCACCAGGAGAAAACAGAGGGGAAAAAAGCCAAAGAGAAAAAAAAAATGATGCAGCCACCACATCTAATGATTGGTCGGCTGCAATATATTCCATTTTTGGTTTTGGGTTTAATACCGCTTTAACAGTAGTCTCTTGTGAAAGGAATTGCTATGAATGCTTATAGCAAAATACACATATGAAGAACTCTTTTATGTAAGTAAAGTATTATCACCTGTGTTATCCTTTTGAATAATAGACCTCTGCAACTCCTCTACTTTGCTCATCAGCCTCTGATATTGCTCTTCAGCTACCTGCAAATCATTGGTTAAAGAAGCCAGGCTGGTATTCTTTACTTCCAGTGAGTTCTGAAGATCTGCCATGGCCCTCTCCAGGTCTAGACAGGACTTCTTCAGGGTGACAACCTCAGAGCTCAGGGTCTCTTGCCTTTGTTGGCTAGCCAGGCTTTGTTCAACCTCAGCTTGGAGCCTGGTGTTCACTGCCGCCAGGTGGGCCTGCAGTTCTGTCTTTTCTTTCAGTGCCTGTTTGGAAAAGCATATATGACTTAACTGCCTTATTTATTAATAGTACGGAACATTACTGAGATAGAAATATGGGGGCTGCTATTATAAACTTGTTTTTGAAGGTGTATGCTCTCTAGCTGTCATGTATTTACTCTTTACTAAGTCACTAATCAAAAACAAGTATATGCATATAAGGTTTCCTGACAACTAATATTCAAATGCTCAGTCAAGCCTTTTAATAACCAAGCACTGCAAAGTGAATAAGCATGACAGTGATTGAGCATGGTCCTACAAAACCAACCCCACAGTGTCAGATCGAGATTTCTAGCTGTAAAAGATAAGGATCACAGCTATGACCTCCAAGAGGAGAGGGAAGTACCCTTTTTCAAGATTCTACGGACATGCAGAAGTGCTCAGTTTAGGTATTCATATGTACTGTACTGTATATAGCCTTATGCTGTTCAGAAACAACAGCAGAGCACAATACAGACATATTGCTAATAATAGCACAAAACAGGAAGATATGTATGTTGGGTACACTAATAGCAAAATAATAGCAAAATGCAACTAATAGCAAAATGCAACTATTTAAGATCAGAGTTTTTAAATAACTCAAACAGAAAAAAAACGCCAATTTGTTTATATTTTGTGAATATTCTGCTTAAATAATAAGATGTACAACCATGGACAAATATGAAACAATGCTTCATTTTTTTATTTCATTGTCTCACGTATTTGGCATTTCAAAAAGTCAATTGAAGAAAGTGTAAAAACACATACTTTATGCTTAACCTACAAAGATGTTCTAATTGGCCTGGACAGATCTGCTGCTACCTCAGGAATAGATTATAATTAATTGCATCGTAGTGATATTGTACACTGTTTTCTGTAACTAGCAACACAGATCTTCAATCCTGTAGTCAAGATATTTAAATGGACAAAAGTAGTCACTCTGCTTTTTGGTATCATTGTGTGAACCACACTGAATATGAATTAAAAAAAAAAGGAGGACACAAGAGTTGTCAAATGAGATCTGGAAAATATTTATATATCCCAATCCCAGCATATCAAAGGTAAGCATTATAAGACTATCTCCAATCTGCTTGATGTTCCTGAGACTACAGTTGCAAATATTAAAGTGGAACTTCACTCTCTCAATCAACATTGACTGTTTAATCCTTATGCAGCTAGCATTAGTAAATAGACAGGAAGATATATTATATGTACTTGATTTAAACTTTTTTTTTTTTTACATTTCTTTAGTTACTTCCTAGTCTCCATGCCTAGACAAATGATGTCATACATCCCAGGAGTCTTCAGGAGGGGAGGAGGGATTTTCTCAGCTCAGACATTCAGGCAGGAGGGTGTGCTTAGCTAAGAGCAGGTGGATTCAAGGAAGTAAATGCTACACAAATCATCTGCCCTTATCAAGTTGGCCACGACCAGAAATGCTAGGAGGTGTTTTTCGAAGTGATTTCTCAGCAAAATAAAGCATGAAGACATGAATAGATGGATGGGGGGGGGGGGTTTGCTTTAAATATTAGCAATGAATTAAATAGCGTTTTTGGTGTGTGATGCTCAGATGTAGTTACACCTTAAACCGTTTAAGGTCCATGGGAGAGTAGCCAACCTCCCAAGATGTAGCTGCAAAAGAGAAAGATGAAGAAGGGAAGATAGGAGAAAACTGGCAGAGAAGGCAAGTGGAGGGGTACTATATCAACTTTAGTCCTGCAATGCTAACAATTACCCTCATCCAAACCGATGAACTGAAACCAACAAAACCATGTTGAACACATCTGGTTTTTTTTTTGGTTTTTTTTTTTAAAGAGTTGGTCATGTCCTCCATCATTCTGATATTGTTTACTTTGTTAAGCCCTATTTGGACAGAAGGAGAAGATCCTTGCACCAACAGGCTGAAATACAGGCTTGGGCCACATTTAGAAGGTGTCTCTGGATTGATTTTTGGTCTATTTTGATGGGAATTCAATTACTAGGAAGGAGAAAAGAGCATCCGTTGCTAACTGAATGACAGTGGACTCAGCAAAAATTCATGGAATTACTCCACTGTTGAAAGGAAAACATAAAAAAGCTAGACTGGAATTTGATAAAATGCATATTGACAAGTCACATTGCTTCTGGGTGAATGTTCTTTGAATAGATAAGCCAAAACTGTGGCAAGTCAAATCAGCCCTATGTTCACAGAAAATCAAATTAAGCTTTCAAAGAAAAGAATATTTGTACCTACTGTGTGACATGTAAGAGACTCGATTATGTTTTTGGGACCACTTTGCTGTGTCCAGCAAGAGGTGTCTTGAATCTGTCCAGGGCACAATGAAATCTCAAAACTATTAAAGAATTCTGGAGAGAATCATACTGCCCAGCGTCAGAAAGTTCTGTCTCAGTCACTCAAGAGTAACAGAAATTGCTTTTTTGTAGTAACTGACTCTTAAGATTGCACAACAAAAAAATATTAAGCTAATAGACCCATTATTTTTACCAATCCCTTTTTTATTTGTTTTATTATTTAAAATAGTCTAATGAACCTCAAAGGCAAAGACTATTTTTTTTTAAATATGGAATAAACAGTGCAGGATACCAGTTGTCAGTTTAAAGAGAATTCATAGCAAATTGTGAATTCTTCTATTTCCATGTAAGGGTACCAACAAATTTGTCCACAGTTGTACCTCATTAATGGTTCTTTGAAAAGAAACAAGGTCCAGGTTTGTCTCTAAATGACTGATTGATTTCACTATTTTAACCTGACTGGCTTCTGTTGTCAATGATTCCAGCTGTCCTTCCAATCTCATCTTCTCTTTCAGCACCTGCAACAGTTCATCGTGAGTCCCAGCAATGGAGCTTTCCATAGAAATACTAAAAATAACACAGAATGGATTACTGGTAAAAAGAAATTATATTGCATTTTCAGTGAGCACATAGTGACTTGTATTGTAATGCTTACCTTAAAGTAAATGTATATGTAATTTTATTGTAAAGTTTATTTTAAAGTAAATGTATGAGTAGCCTTCAAATATGTACAAGCTTTCACCTCCATTGTTGTTATTCTATGGTTGTAGACAATGCAGGAAGCAGTGAATGCAATGAGCAAAATGGATAGCCACATTTACATATATCATCATGTATCATCATATATCATCAACTATACAATAGCTTGGAGGTGAAACTTATGCATCTCTAAACAATGGTGATGTACTTTATTGCTACATGGAGACCATTATCAGAATAGTAGTCAATATGATGCGACACAAACATTTTGTTAAAATAAAGTTGCAACACTATGAAAACACAGTGACAATGTAGAATCATTCAGAGCAGCACAATTGGAATAAAATATTGAGGAAATGGAAACGGTCTAAAATAAAATTGCCCTAAAAAGTTTAACATAACTGTAATTCTGACAAACTAAGATGACTGCCTTTCCATGAACACTTGTAAAACTGGTAATGCTATAGTGTGGTATACTGCACCATGGAGTGTCTCTATTGTAGTGACTTCTGTACTACTTGGCCTTTTGCCAATTTTTCCCTATGCTTTCATAAACCTTTAATAAAAGTCAGGTAACCAAAAATTGGTAGTATATGGGAAGGAAACAATTCTGAGTGCCGCACACCATCAGGACCCAAAAGTCGCTGTAATAAAAGCAGCCTCAGCCCAGCTCCATTCAGGCCAGCATGGCCTGGGCAGAGCTGGGCTGAGCTTGCTCCTACTATAATGACTCTCGGGTCCTGAAAGTGTGTGGCACTTGGGGTTGTTTCCTTCCCTTTTGCTGAATGCATTGAGCCAGGATGTGCTCTCCCCAGCCTGCACCTTCAGTGAGAGTCACCAAACTGGGACACACAGGAACCTCAAGTGGCACCCCTAGGTTTTTCAGTGCGGGTTTGCAAAAATTGTTACTGCTTATCATCTCTGACAATGACTACATCTGGTCAGCGTTTCTGTATTTGTGAAGCATTGGTTTTAGAGTTACAAAGATGTCTAATGTATCAGTTTAATATTAGTAACGCATCACTCTTTGCACTGAAAACTTATTTTTGTTTATGGTTATTACCTGCTTGAAATGCTGTCTCGCCGGCTTCTAGGTTCACCATTTCCCTCCAACTCCTGAGCTTGTTGCTCAGCAGCAGCAGCTTGTAAGACATCTCTAAGGGAAGGGTAGTGCCCTACATCTTCTGGAGCTATGCTTTGGCCATTCACAATGTATTCCTCTTCTCTCCTGGGCAATGCAGCAACAACGCAAGTCCCTTGTCCAGCAGACACACTACTGTACGTAGAGCTGTCACTCTCATTTCCATCAAGTCTAGTTCCCAGATCACTCCCATCAAGTTCAGAGCTGTTGTCAGCATTGTAAACCTCACATTTCTGTCCTTCTAAACTAATTTCTGACACTACTGAGGTCAAGCTCCCCCTGTTGGGCTTTAGGGAGCCAGGCGATGAATCAGAATAACCTATGCAGGGATTGCCGGATTCAGAAGATTCTACACGATAGTCTGCTAAAGAACGAATTTTGCTAGAAGATTTTGGATGATCTGGAGGACTTTTTTTCTTTGGAAGCTGATGGGAGGCCTAGGCTGCCCAGTTTTGGTCCCCTTGGGACACTTGTACGCAAGAAGGAATACTCCTTAGTCATTGCAACAGTACTCGCCCGAGGAAGATTATCTGGATTGAACATCAGTTCAGGATCCAAGGTGCTTGAAGGGCGATTTTTTGGAGTCGATTGATTGGACTACAGAGAGAAATAAATATACATCACAATACAGAATATAATTACATGTTCAAAAAACATTATTTCAAAGACAGAATTTTGTTTTAAAATTTCAAGCAAGGAAAAAGGAAAAGCACAATTCAAGGACTGATTTCAAGTGATTTTATTTGTCTAGTAAAGGCAATTTTTATGGCGGAGAGAGTCAGGAGTAATAGTAGTAGTACAATGTTTGGTCCTTGTCTGCATTCTCATTGGGGAGATTTTCCCTACACTTCCTGACCAGCGACAGTTTTGAGACAAAAAATTTAGAGGAATTACATAATATGACAGCTGTTACCAAACAAAGTTAGAGCTCAAGTGCATGTCAGACTGCTTCAGCAAGACTCACACAAAAGCACAGTGGTCCAGCTCTGTACTCGCTGCCCAGGCCACAGGAACCTGGGACCGGCAGCAGAAACGTATAACTAAAAACAAGCATGTATGTAAATGCTAATCACTTTTCAAACCCTAATTACACAGTTCATTTTCTTTTGCAGGGTAGCTTTACAGCTGATCAACTACTTCAATACCCTAGCTAAGGCACTTTGGGGTCAATTCACTAAAGGATTCCGCATGCGATGTAACAGTCACAATTCAGTTTTTGGAAATATTGCATTGGATAATAAGAAAGTCAATTCAGTAAAAGATAAAATATCGAATGTGAGGTAAATACCGCAAAAAAATTAGATAAATCATTAAAGTCAATTCACTAAAGAACACACATTCGTTATTTATCACCTGCCAGTAGGCAGTCAGTATTTTAGCAAAGTAAAGTACAAACAATAAGGGGAACTCAGCATTGGCCAGTGAATTAAAAGTATACAATGTATCAGTGTGGAAATGTTCTGCCCAGGTTCACACTGGATCCAACTTTGAAATTGTGCGACATCACTTGAAGTCGCACAAATTCAAAGTCAAATGACAGCGTAACTTCAGCTGCGACTTGGAAGACATCTGTGCAACTTTATGCACAGATGTCTATGCAAGTCACACCTGAAATCGCAAAAAGTAGTGCAGAAACAATTACTTTGTCGGAGTCGCACAAATTTTAACGGTTCCATTGCCAACAATAGGGTGCAACTTGTCATGCGTTTTGAAACTGTCAAATCGCAAGACAAGCCACATCGGTGTGTGAACCAGGGCTAAGCTCAGGAATGAAAATAAATTGTAACATTTCACAAGAGGGATATCGTTCTGTGAATGAAAGCATGCCTGAATGGTTTTCACAGTTTCACATTTCTGTGTGCATTTATTAACAAAACTATCTTTTCCTGGTGCAATAAAAAAACAAAAAAAAAGCCAAAAATAATGCTGAATTTAAGTGATAAAATATCGCAACACATATTTAACGCATTTGGTAAATGTATCTCTTAGTGAAGCGAGTCCTTTGTTGTTCCAAAACTTTTTTTTGTAACACCTGCATGAATGTCTTTTTTAGGCTTTTTGACACCTAGTAATCCAGCAAATAACAAGCTTCCTGTCCCTTTAAATCTACACTCATGGTCACACAGGCTTGACTTCAAATATGTCTACCTTTGCTCAACTCCATTACATGGTGTATTGCTAGTAGTTCAAACTAGAAAGATAAAGATGTTTCTGCTTTCTTGTTAAGTAACAAGGCATAACAAGGGGACTGCACATCAGGCAGTCAACAGTTATTTGCTACACTTGCTAAAAATGTTTTGAACTTGGAAAAAAAAAATGAATGCAGCCAATACATCTATAGTTTGGTAAGCTGCATTATATATTACACTTTTGGTTTTAGATATATATTATATATATTTATTTAGTAATGAAGAGGATGTCTCCAAGAAATAAAATTCTTACCCTTTCCTGCTGACGCTTAACCCTGTACTGTTTCAACTGCTCCTCCAAGCGACGTCTGGCCTGCAAGCGGATTTGCTCCTCTCTCTCAAGTGGAAGGGAAGCATCACTGGAGGCTGAAGATGACACATACATCAAAAATAAAAAGTGCACAGATAGAAAGAAAACAAGATCTTGTATATATGGAACAGTCAAGATGACCCAAGGTTTTCAGTAACTTATTGTGCACAATAAAGACATAACTCACTGTATGTTGCAAGGTGCAAAGCAGAAAATGAAATGAGAAAAAAAGAAAAATAAAGATACCTGGAGATAATCTAATCTATACTGTCTGTAAACAGTACTGTTTTTCCACACACAGTACACTTAAAATGTACTGCAAAGTGTGATGATTATGTGCAAGGTAAAGATTACCACTGCAACCATATTTTCCATATATACAGCCAACCAGACAGTATGGCTGGCCCTAGCCAAGAGCTTGTGAGGGACTGGATCAGAATATAGTGTAGCACTTATCTCTCTCTTTGCATCATCATACTGATGCTGTATGCTACAGGTAATATGGTAGCTCTCATTAGGAGATGCTTCCTTTACCCCAATTTATATAGCAGACATAAAAACTGCCTTCTTTTAAGACTTCTAATATGATTAGGTGCTTTTTCAGTTTATCAGTCAACTAAAACTAAAACTGACCAGCATTAAAGTGCACTTTCCACAGTTACTGCACTTTACATGGCCTTATTAAATACATTTGTTACTTGGGTTACTGGAAAAACAGGTTTAAAAAGAATCAATTGTAAGGCCTCAGAAAGGCCTTGCTAAAGTGGAAAGACAGGCAAAAAAATGCTATGAAAACACCCACTCTGTCCTCCAACCTTTCCTGGCCCCTCTTCCTGCAAGTCTCGAAGGTCTAACTATAGCCAGCAGCAGTGGTCAATCGGGAAAAAAAGGACAGGCTGGTTATACACAAGTCGATCAGCAGATTGACCTGTTCACAATCAGTCCTGCACATACATGTCCCTGATGAAGGAGCCGAATTTCAATTCATGCATGGCCATCTTAAAAGAATCCAAAAATTGTGCTGATTCTAAGATGTTGAATATGGATAACTGCAGCTAATAAGATGTGAATTGCATTATTTCCTGACAATGTAAAAAAGAACATGTGCGCAAAGAAAAACCGCGTTTACATAGTACTAGATGTACTATTGTATAGCAGCATACAGGAAAAGGCTGAAAAATAATTTGTAGTTGCCATTTACAGATCAACCCATAAAAGAGTAGAAATTTCAATCAAGAAACATCACAGAAGCACTTTGCAAGTAGGGATAAATGGTGCAAAGCGATAGATGGGATTGCATTTCAGAAAAAATAGGCGCTTACACAGGTCAGTTTCCTGCATATGAAGGCTTAGCTTCAGCGACTGCAAAGCTTCTTTTCTAAGAACTACTCCCTCAGAACTAGGTTCATTGAAACCAGCCACACCTGGAGGGGCTGCACTTCTACAGTCCTTTAGTGGCTCCGTGGTTGGAGGAGGATCCGTATAATGTGAAAGAGGCCCATTCTGACATGCATCTCCAGAACTTTTCAATTCCATACTGCTTTCTTCTTCTTTTGGCAATTTATTCAAATGTAGGCTTGTCACTAAAAAAAAAGTAATAACAAAAAATGTAAAAACACTGGAATTCCAATAATTTAACAGTAAATACTACTGGAACTTTATTTTAAATAAAAAAAATAAATTAGCCCCCCCCCCAATGTATATCACTCGCCTATGCGAATCACATGCAAAGTGCTTGTTGGGCCTCCTGGGATATGCACGTCACATATTCCAAGAGGCATAGCCTTTTATTCAGAAAGGTGGAGGGGGGCATGCCTAGCGCTGCATTAGGAGGTGCACGGCTGAACCCACAAGATTCTGCAGGCCTCTCAGTGACATCACAAGCAATATGGCGGAGCAGGGACCAAACGGTGTCAGAAGACAAGAGTATCTCAGCAGGACAACACTGGATCCTCTGGGGGGAGAGGTGGATATTTGAAATGTGCAGAACACAGCCCTGGGTAAAAAAGAAAAAAATAAGACTCAAAGAAGTGTACAACTTGCCCAGTGAAAGTGCATGGGCATTTGTTCTGTGAATGGACAAAAAAAAAACAATGTTATTAGGCCATTTCCTGCACTGTTGAATGTTTTTCCATTGATTTAAAATAGAAAATACTACATTTTGCACAATATGAATCTAAGTATCATAGGAATTTGCAATTCAAATAAGAGCACAGCCTTTACAACATATTTTAATTCATAACCCCCCCCTGTTCAAATTGTTGAAAAACGTGGTTTTTCCCTTTTCACAACCAACTTGTGACAATTGGCTGGTTCTCATACCCCCGCTGTTCACTGATTCGCAGCAATGGAACTCTCAGCAAAGATTTCATAGGAACAATCTAACTACCGCCAGATGAGAGCAATCAGGTTACCTAAGCAATTAACTCTTTAACCATTTTCTGTGGGCACTTAGAGATTTTAGCACAATTACAATTACAGTCATGCAACACTGTACCCAAATGAAATTTGTATTATTTTTTTTGAGACAGAGCTTTCTTTTGGTGGTATTTAATCAATTAATCAATCATAAAATGCTTGAAGGTAAAGAAAAACCTTCAGCCTTTAGAACCACTTTAACGTAAAAATGTGAATCGACAAACAATCCGCTCAGGGATACTTTTTCACACAAGTACATTGTACAGCAGGCATATATCAGGAATATGAAATATTGGGTTTACATATTCTTTAAAGCCCAATTGTACTTTTATAAAATGAGCAATAAGCACTGTATTATTTCTCTAAAAAGCAGTCTGCCTTGTTGCAACTACAGTGGTGCAATCAGCAGGGAGTGTTAGCTTTGCAGATATTAAGGCCAATTTTGCTGACCTCTCATTAAAAAAATTCTAGATTCCTGACTGCCTAGTTTCTCTGACAATCACATGAGATCTGTCTTCACTCTGACTTTCCAGATCTGTATATTTGTGCTGGGTCAGAACAGAAGCCAGAGGGTCAGGCAATTAGAACCTTCAAGAGGTCAGCAATAGCAGCCACCATGTTTATCCCAGTACACGTTTCTTTTAGGGTCATGCAAGGTAGGAAGACCTGGAAACTAAAAGAAGGTTTTCTTGCCAATGCCAGTTCTATGAAATAGATAAAAAAACAAAAAAAAAAAACACACACAAAAAAAAGAAAAAAAAAAACAGCTACAATTCCAATTAGCAAATGAACCTTTATAAAGTATGAAACCAGCTCATGTATTAATCTGTCCGTCTACTACATTTATAATTTATGCTACAGGGTATAATTCAATAGTTTGTGACTGAATAAGAAATATCGCAATCAAACATCTTTCTGGTATTACCATTTAAGATTTAAAGATTGCCACAAGAGGTATACAATTATGCATTTAAATGAAATCTATGGTCACAGCATACATTTTCATATGTTAACATCAGCACTCTAATAGCAATACAAACAGTTAATTCTATCAATCCAGTTTAAGCTTACTAGAAAAATATTTTATATTACGAGTACGGTCTATCTGTACTCATGCTTTGCAGCTTCTCCTTTGCTGTTTACTTTCAATTTCTTAGGAATACACATCCCATGGTACCTTGCTGCCTGCAAGCAGCGATTTCTTCACCTTCTGAAACTCCTCCTTTCAGCACCTCTGTAGTTCAGAAGGCAGGCTCTGTGAATTCTGTGAAACAGCAGTGCCTTCTCACAGGGCATAGTGATTACGTGTCACAGATTTCAAGTCAGTATATGTGTAGGGAACTTCACAGAGAAAGTTTAAAAACTTCAATACCATTCAGATAAATAAGAATAGGAACATGGAAAATAATATATGACAGGGGTATTGAATTAAAATTCAAGGAGGTCAGGTCACTAAAATTTTCTTCTGGCCGAGGTCCAAATAGGGTGTGCCCATCAGTGTGCACCTTTACATTAGGTATCCCCATCATAGTGCCACCTTACATCAGGTATTCCCGACAGAGTGCCCCATTGCACTCAAACTACCCCTTTCCATCATATTCCCCAGAGTGCCCCTTTCCGTCACGTGCCAATCAGACTGCCCCTTTCCATCACATGTGCCCATCAGAGTGCCTCTGTCCACAGCCAAATTTCTATTGATTTTAGAAACAGTATGGAAGGGTTAGCTGTGTCTAGCCATCTCCTGCAGATACAATTTCCCTTTAATTCCTGCCCCAGAGATGCAGGATTTTCCCTCACATCTTGCTCTAGTGATAACGCTAAAATTTGAATTAGTTCTCACTTCTGTCTCAGTAATACCGGTCACCAGGTCAATGTGTCAGATTTGGCTTTTTTTTTCTCCACTTTTTTGTGTCATACCAATACAAACAAAATAAATAAATGAGAATGCCGAAACCCTTGTAATTGCAACAATTTTCTGGGCGCAGTGGTGCATTATCTGACAGAAATTGAGGGGTGCCAAAATTTTTGGCCATGACTGTGTTTATCTCTATATTATTTTTTGTTTAAATTTTATTCAATACATTACATTTGATATTTACATGTCTACACACTTTGAAAGGTTATACTACTTTAGACATTCAAGTTCCTATTAAGACCACCCACACTGATAGGTCATACAGTAGAAATCAAGAAATGGTCCAATGGAAGCAAATAAAGATTCAGGTTGATTAGCACAAATACCAAAACATCTACTACATTTCATATTAGAAAATTCAAGTCAACACTTGGCAGCTGGTTTTATTCTGGAACATTTTGTCTTCAAACTAAGCCTTTTTTTTTTTCAACAAGCAAACCCTTTATTGAGAGAAGAAGACATGTAACCACATCATACAGCCAATGAGAGCGAAGTCAGTATAGTGGCAAAAAAATACAAGTGCACAGGTAAGAAAAATACTTGCTGTAAGCAAGTAAAATAAAGCTAACAAAGTTCAACTAACATGACACCACTACCACAGGGATGAATGCACATAACAAGGGAAAGGCAAAATAAACAAACTACAATTACATGTCTTCCTCCACATCAC